GACTGGCTCTCACTAGGAGTGGTCTACTTGACGTTTGACTGGTTCTCACTAGGACTGGTCTCCTTGATGTTTGACTGGTTCTCACTAGGAGTGGTCTGCTTGACGTTTGACTGGTTCTCACTAGGACTGGTCTCCTTGATGTTTGACTGGTTCTCACTAGGACTGGTCTTCTTGACGTTTGCCTGCTTTTCACTAGGACTGGTCTCCTTGATGTTTGCCTGGTTCTCACTAGGAGTGGTCTACTTGACGTTTGCCTATTTTTCACTAGGACTGGTCTCCTTGATGTTTGACTAGTTCTCACTTGGAGTGGTCTCCTTGATGTTTGACTGGTTCTCACTTGGAGTGGTCTTCTTGACGTTTGCCTGGTTCTCACTAGGAGTGGTCTCCTTGATGTTTGACTGGTTCTCACTTGGAGTGGTCTCCTTGATGTTTGACTGGTTCTCACTAGGAGTGGTCTCCTTGATGTTTGACTGGTTCTCACTTGGAGTGGTCTTCTTGACGTTTGCCTGGTTCTCACTAGGAGTGGTCTCCTTGATGTTTGACTGATTCTCACTTGGAGTAGTCTCCTTGATGTTTGCCTGGTTCTCACTAGGACTGGTCTACTTGATGTTTGACTGGTTCTCACTAGGACTGGTCTACTTGATGTTTGACTGGTTCTCACTAGGAGTGGTCTAGTTGATGTTGGACTGGTTCTCACTAGGAGTGGTCTTCTTGACGTTTGACTGGTTCTCACTAGGAGTGGTCTACTTGAGGTTTGACTGGTTCTCACTAGGAGTGGTCTCCTTGATGTTTGCCTGGTTCTCACTTGGAGTGGTCTCCTTGATGTTTGACTGGTTCTCACTTGGAGTGGTCTCCTTGACGTTTGACTGGTTCTCACTTGAAGTGGTCTTCTTGACGTTTGACTGGTTCTCACTAGGACTGGTCTACTTGATGTTTGACTGGTTCTCACTTGGAGTGGTCTACTTGATGTTTGCCTGATTCTCACTAGGAGTGGTATACTTGATGTTTGACTGGTTCTCACTAGGAGTGGTCTAGTTGATGTTTGACTGGTTCTCACTTGGAGTGGTCTCCTTGATGTTTGACTGGTTCTCACTAGGAGTGGTCTACTTGATGTTTGACTGGTTCTCACTAGGAGTGGTCTACTTGACGTTTGACTGGTTCTCACTAGGAGTGGTCTACTTGATGTTTGACTGGTTCTCACTAGGAGTGGTCTACTTGATGTTTGACTGGTTCTCACTAGGAGTGGTCTACTTGATGTTTGCCTGGTTCTCACTAGGAGTGGTCTCCTTGATGTTTGACTGGTTCTCACTAGGAGTGGTCTCCTTGATGTTTGACTGGCTCTCACTAGGAGTGGTCTACTTGACGTTTGACTGGTTCTCACTAGGACTGGTCTCCTTGATGTTTGACTGGTTCTCACTAGGAGTGGTCTGCTTGACGTTTGACTGGTTCTCACTAGGACTGGTCTCCTTGATGTTTGATTGGTTCTCACTAGGACTGGTCTTCTTGACGTTTGCCTGCTTTTCACTAGGACTGGTCTCCTTGATGTTTGCCTGGTTCTCACTAGGAGTGGTCTACTTGACGTTTGCCTATTTTTCACTAGGACTGGTCTCCTTGATGTTTGACTAGTTCTCACTTGGAGTGGTCTCCTTGATGTTTGACTGGTTCTCACTTGGAGTGGTCTTCTTGACGTTTGCCTGGTTCTCACTAGGAGTGGTCTCCTTGATGTTTGACTGGTTCTCACTTGGAGTGGTCTCCTTGATGTTTGACTGGTTCTCACTAGGAGTGGTCTCCTTGATGTTTGACTGGTTCTCACTTGGAGTGGTCTTCTTGACGTTTGCCTGGTTCTCACTAGGAGTGGTCTCCTTGATGTTTGACTGATTCTCACTTGGAGTAGTCTCCTTGATGTTTGCCTGGTTCTCACTAGGACTGGTCTACTTGATGTTTGACTGGTTCTCACTAGGACTGGTCTACTTGATGTTTGACTGGTTCTCACTTGGAGTGGTCTTCTTGACGTTTGCCTGCTTTTCACTAGGACTGGTCTCCTTGATGTTTGACTGGTTCTCACTAGGAGTGGTCTGCTTGACGTTTGACTGGTTCTCACTAGGACTGGTCTCCTTGATGTTTGACTGGTTCTCACTAGGACTGGTCTTCTTGACGTTTGCCTGCTTTTCACTAGGACTGGTCTCCTTGATGTTTGCCTGGTTCTCACTAGGAGTGGTCTACTTGACGTTTGCCTATTTTTCACTAGGACTGGTCTCCTTGATGTTTGACTAGTTCTCACTTGGAGTGGTCTCCTTGATGTTTGACTGGTTCTCACTTGGAGTGGTCTTCTTGACGTTTGCCTGGTTCTCACTAGGAGTGGTCTCCTTGATGTTTGACTGGTTCTCACTTGGAGTGGTCTCCTTGATGTTTGACTGGTTCTCACTAGGAGTGGTCTCCTTGATGTTTGACTGGTTCTCACTTGGAGTGGTCTTCTTGACGTTTGCCTGGTTCTCACTAGGAGTGGTCTCCTTGATGTTTGACTGATTCTCACTTGGAGTAGTCTCCTTGATGTTTGCCTGGTTCTCACTAGGACTGGTCTACTTGATGTTTGACTGGTTCTCACTAGGACTGGTCTACTTGATGTTTGACTGGTTCTCACTTGGAGTGGTCTTCTTGACGTTTGACTGGTTCTCACTAGGACTGGTCTCCTTGATGTTTGACTGGTTCTCACTTGGTGTTATTGACGTTTGCATGGTTCCCACCGGGAGTGTTCTTCTTGACGTTCGCCGGTATAAAACGTTTCCCGGCCAATTGATTGATACTTCTTTTTTATTTCAGCAGTCACTCTCTGAGCACAGATGTTCAAGCTAGAGCCTTCTACCTGTGAAAGATAGAGGCGTCAATCATCACGCATAAACTCGACTTACATTAATACGTTACCGTGTACCATGCAAAAATGTCGTGGCAATTTCAACAACATGCTGTGATAGTACAGAGACTCCCCGACTTACGACGGTCCCCGACTTACGATATTTCGATCTTACGATGGCGATACGACAAAATTGTAAGATATTTTAAATTTCGCGCGGCAGGCAAACGCAGCAGCCTACGAGGTACGATACTGCACGTTGGGATGCTGCCAGGATGTACGCGTCTCCCGCCTTGTGTGATGCAGATAGGATTGTTTCCTGAAAAAAACTTTCTATTAAATTGCAGTTCATACAGGTAGGCTAAGAATTTACCTTGGTTTTTTTTACTTTACATTTTACTGTGCAATACAGTATTGTAATTAATAAATACATACAGTATATAGTTTATACAGTACAGCACTGTAAATTGCTCTGTTTTGCTCAATTATCACCATTCTTTAAGACTCCTGGGTAGGCCAGGCCATCTTCGACTTACGATATTTTTGACTTACGATGGGGCCGTCGTAACGCATCTCCATCGTAAGTAGAGGACTACCTGTATATGTTTCGATTTAAAGCTTTCGTGACTGCAGGGATTCATATTCTTGGTTCTTTCGGTAAAGTCACGTAGAAGGGAAATAATAAAATAATAAAAATTAACCTATGAAATTCCCACGACGTTTCCATTTCAGCACAATCATCATCAGGTGTGAAAACCACAGCAAGAAAAAAATGTATTGCGGTGGTTTTCACATCTGATGATGATTACTTGTGTTGCAATCGAAACGTCGTGAGAATTATAATTTTTAGTTAATTATTTTATTATTTCCCTTCCATGTGACTTTACCTGTATATGCGTCGTCTTTTGTGTACCATTCGCCTTTTTGCCGTTCTCCAGTCCATCACCGATGAGACAAGGCCGTAGAGAAGGCTGTCTCTGGTGTATGCCAATCAGTTTCAAAGACAATGCCATCTATTATCAGAGCGTGTTTTGTGTGTTTTACCTCGGGTAAAGTGTGGTTAATGCAGTTCTTGATTCCTTGCAATAGGTGTCTATCTGGTGTTTGAACATCTTAACACCTCTTCTTTGGTTCTTTCGGTAAAGTCACGTAGGATGAGAATAAAATAATAAAATACAATTTTATTCTCATTCTACGTGGTGACTTTACCGAAAGAACCAAAGAATGTGAATCCTTGCAGTCACGAAAGCTTTAAATCGAAATCTTAATACCTTTGTTATAGCCAGAAAGGGTAAAGCCTATTCTTGTTTCATCATTTTGTTACAGCCAAAAAAAAGGTCCCCATAGATACACTACTTGAGCATTGAAAAAAAGTGGAGAATCTAATTTGTGGATTGGTAAATGTGGAGGGACGAACATGTGAATTGTTGCTTCATGAGGCTTGCTGTGTGGCTGTTGCCGTGTGACCGGGTTGCCGTGTTGCCGTGTGGTTCGGGTTGCCGTGTTGCCGTGTGGCTGTGTTGCCGGGTTGCCGTGTGGCTGTGTTGCCGTGTTGCCGTGTGGCCGTGTTGCCGGGTTGCCATGTTGCCGTGTGGCTGTGTGCGTTACAGAGCTTGTTGGTGCGAGTGCGATCGATTTTCAGTTGTGTTTGACCCCTGCGTAAATGTGAAACAAAGACTGCGAGTTGCTTGTTTGAACTGCTTGACATTCTTTGACAATGTGTTTGATGTTTTGTTACATAAGAGTATTGTATGTCTGTGTTTTTGACAGCGTGTGAATGAGGGTGTGCATGGGCCCAAGTTATTATTGAACGTATTTTATTGCTGTGATGCACGTTCTAGTTTAAGGCGTGTCTGTGTGTGTTGCACATTTGTGTCGGGCGATTACTTGCTTCGTGCGCGTGTGTGTGTGTGTGCATATTTGTGTGATGGTGTGTTGCCCGTACGATTGTGCGCGTCCGTTCGTGCTAACGGCACGCGCAGCGACGGGGAGGCCGCGATGGGAGCGTTCGTCTCCGTGCCGCTGCGCGGGGCCGTGCGCGAGTGCGCGTGGTAGAGCGCCCGTGACTAACGGAGCGGCACCCTGCGTGCGTGCCCCTCGCCGCCGCCCCCCCCCCCCCCCCTTCCTCCCCTTCCTCCCCTACCCCCAGATGTCCTTGCGCATCAAGGCTCTGAAGCGACAGGTGAACGAGGCGGAGGAGGAGATCGATCGCCTGGACGGGCAGCGGCGCAAGGTGCAACGCGAGCTGGAGGAGCAGCTGGAGCTGAACGAGGGCACTCGCGCCGAGCTCAACACCCTGCGCAAGGAGATGAGGTCCGCACACCCGGCAAAACACCTCTCCGCTGCTCGCGTTCACCGCACGCTGGCCGACATTGACTGGAGGGGGGGTGGGTGTCTTGGTCATGTTGGCTCGGCGGGTTTTCCAAGATACCGTGAACCCCCCCACACCCATGTAAGAGCACTGGGCCGGCAAGTAACTGTTGCTTGGGTTTTCTCTAGCCACTCTGGTTTAGTGGATAGACACCCTAAAGCGTTGGCTGGGTGAAGGCTCCCTAAACGCCCCCCGACATGGTGCCGGTTACGCGAGTTGTTTTGACCGTACCCCACCGCGATGATCTGCGTGGGTTGGCCAAGGAAGAGGCCCAGCACCGGTTCGTATCGCGCGAAGGCTGATGTCAGCCGTGGCAGGCAATGCCCCGGGGGTTCATCGCACAGCGCACCAACCACTGCATTCATCTTGGGGCTCCCAGCTGAGACGAACCCAGTTTCAAGTGTGTTGGTGAAATAAGCTGAGCCCCGTCAGCAGTGAGAGGGCCAGGTTTTGGAGTCGTTTTGTTAAAAAGGCGTGAAAAGAAGTGTTTGCGCTCGGTAGCGTTCGTTTGTAAAATAACGAGCACATTTTTATCCGTTTCATAATCGGTGACCGCACTCCACATGGTGGACGGTGTCCACAGTGCGCCCGTGTAAGCCTGACGCTCGGTGCAGCGGGCGGCATTCCTCCTTCTCACGCTGCGATCGTCCGCCTGTGCCACAACGCCTGTGGTGGTGGTGGTGTTGTTGTTGTGCGCGCCTGCAATTCCCGCACGGCTCGGCGAAGTTTTGATACTCTCCGTGAGCTGCTGACATCGCCATGTTTAGGGCCCACGGTCGTTAACCAGGGGACGTCCTTTCCAGCCGATGAGCGTCCCTATGGTGAAACGTTGTTGTTGTTGTTGTTGTCGCCTTGCTGCAATACCACGGTGATTTGTGTAATGGCCACGTTGTCAGATGTATCAGTTGGTGGCGAAATTAATATGTTTTGCATATTCAAGGACACGGCAAATATCATGCCTCCTATTTTTTTCTTCATCATACATAGTTTGTTAATGAACCGATAAAAAACCTTAGATACAATACGATACAATTCGGACTTGCAGCCTGTTTAAATGCAACCGCTCGTCAAGATGCTGTACGATTTGGTGGAATATGTACCAGCAGAGGCATGGAGACAAACGGAGAAAAGACGCGCAGAAACAGACATGGATACACACAAAGACAGAGATACAGGGAAAACACCCTGTTCTGTAAGTGGGCTTAGGCAGGACATGTGACGAGCCAATTAACGCCTACAGCACACGAGTTTGGAGAATTGTGAACTGAAACATCTACACCTCTTCGTATGTCTCTGTCATTGTGTCTCCTTATCTACCTGTGTGTGCGTGCGTCTCAGTGTCTCTTGCTCATGCGGGCGTACTGCTGGCCACCCACCCTCTCACGTGCCGCGCCGGCCTTCATAGGTGCTACTCGCCAAATAGCACTTGCCCCAAGAGCCTGTTACGGCTATACGGGAATATTTGTTTCTCACGTGGGGTTTCAGAGACAGACACGTGTCTTTAAAGTCTCCTATTGCCTGTGATGTTTTTGTGGATAAGAGGCATCTGTGGCGAATTATCTTCGTTTTGTCCACGGGTTATCTACGCATTTTTAGCGCACATGAGAGTAAAATGGCAGATAACCCCACATATAATAGGATCCACCATATTAGTCCCCCCATATCACCATGGATAAGCGGAGTTCTCCTGTACGTGTTGTCCAATGCCAAGGTGTAAACAATAAGTACCCCTGGGCTGTCCCTCGATATTGAGTGATACCTGATGATATAGGCCGTCTCAACGCGTCACAGTGTTAGAATCGATGTGCATGACCATGTAGTTTTTATAGCCCAGTTATAGTTTCAGTACTTCCAGGATCACTAGGTCAGTAGAACATTACAGGAAGGTTTTTCTAAGTTGTTTTTTTTCCAATCTTTGGCGTGTCCCAAAGTTCACGAGAAATGCAAGTATGTGGTGGGGGGGGGGGGGGGGGGGTTCTCCCTCTTCACCTTCTCAGTGAACAAAGGGAAGGATTCCAGGGGAGCATCTGCCAGCGGTAGATGGTGCACGTTGAAGGGCCTGGGAGACGCGACAAATAATACGCGGACTGCGTGCCGTGGCCGGGGTTGGCGTCGCGTCGCAGAGGCGCGCGCCTTGCCCCGTCTCGCTCACCGGGCTGGCGAGCGGAGTGTTCCGCACCTGGCTGGCGCATCGCCGCCGACGGGAGCGCTAAGTGTGATGCCCAGGTAATTACTGGGCGGCTTCAGGTGCCCCGGTGACTAATTCTGGGCAAAACTGGCTCATTGGCGACGTACATCAATCGCTGTGTTATCCACCCACCCCGTCGATTTAAAATACAATTAAATTAAAAGTTTAATGTCCAATTTTTGATTTGAAGCTTTCATGACTGCAGGGATTCATACTATTGGTTCTTTCGGTAAAGTCACGTAGAAGGGAAGCAATTAAATAATAAAAATATAGTGAGAATTTTTATTGTTTAATATCCAAGTCTCAGTGGCGAGATGTTCTCTCCCTCGCCTACTATGCAGGAGGTTGTGAGTGCAATCCCGACCCTGATGCTTGTATATTTAAAGTTCTCTCTCTCTGCGGTGGTCATCTGTATTTTTCTCCTGGTCCTCCGGTTATTCCCTCCGTCATTTCAAAATAACGTATGCTTAGTTTTACATTATTTGTGTGGCGCTCCCATCCACTGGCAGCCTTATAGCTCTGCAGGAATGCAATGATTCCCACACACACGGTGATGGCTGCGTGCTCCATCAACCTACGTCGAAAGCGTTGTAGCACACGTGAGCGCTGCCACGTGTAGCCAACTGAGTAAGACTGTGTACGAGTCTCCGCATCGACCGTCAAACTGCATGTCCCCACAGAGCGCTCCGTAGCCACACCCCACCATCATTGAGGTTTCCACAGTCTTGCCAAATCGAAACCGCGCACAGGCCACTGTTAGGAACACTCATGCCAGCGCGTCTGGGTGTGAACCCAGTTGAGGTTTTTGAGATGGGAGGGATGCTTGGATCATTTCTCTGAGAGACAGTCCAAGATTGAGTAATTATTGAGTCCCCTTTGGGAGGCATGGCACACGACGTCATTTATATGTTCAGTTAAATTAATGAAATCACCCCTTTCTAAATGTGTCTGCATTATATATTGCCTTTTGGCATCCATATGCAGGGCTAAACGTATGCCATTTGGGATGCTCCAATAATGTCCAGGTGATGACAATGGAAGATCATGTGACTGACAATTGGAAGCAGACCCGTCCTGAGGAATACGGCGAATCGGGACGACTGCCCCGGGCCCCGCGTTTTTGGGGGGGCCCGGCGCTTCGACGTCACGGTGTCAGATGTAATACTGCCGCTTTAGTTTGAAGGCGTCAGAGGGGAGCGCACAGTGTGATTTACCCTGGGCCCCGTACCCCCCTATGGACGGGCCTCATTGGGAGTTCAGATACTGGCGAGATCTCAACTCCGCCCATCATCCTTTCTGCACCTTTAAACGAGCGCAATTAAATAAACAAGATTTGTCCCATATAGAGGCTGGTCCTTACCACTGGAATGTGGAATTTCCATCACCAACTCAGGACCAGTGATGAAGATGTGCACCACCAGAATGCACATTTGAAATTTAAGACATTTGAACTTTGATTCCAAAATACCTAAGCTTAATGTTCCATTACAGAACAACCCAGAAGTGATGTCACAGGCTTGCAATTAACGTACTGAATTGTTTTTTTTTTACAACCAAAGAAGGGCTCCACTGTTCAAAATGTATGCATTATTTCCTCAGAGCTGGCTAGCGTGGGGTCCCCATTTGTGACTGCACTGCATCTATCGAACCTGAGACACTTGATAACATGGGATTGCCTTGGGTGGGAACCTGAGATTCAATGCCCGGATCTCAGCTCTGTTGAAAAACAAAATCTCCACAAGCAAACCTTTTAAACTTTTAAGCCATGTTAGAAAAATCATTATGAATTTTGTTGAAAATATTTGTTGCCCATAACACGTGGAACAAGAGTGCATCTGCATTACATTAATTTGCTGTGTTTTTAATGCTGTCCGTGGTTCACAGGGTTGTTAAAGACTTATCTAATCAATTTTCATTTGGTTTGGAGCTAACCAGATGGTTCAGCTACCCGGACCAGGGCTGTCCTCTATTACTCCAGCTGGCCGAGATTTTACTGTACGTTTCAAATTACGATATCTGTGGACGAAATTATAGTCATGGTTGACGTACATTTACCTATCAATGTAGCTATGTTCATATAACAATTATCTTAATTTTTCACGACATTGCTTCTTTCCTGCGCTTTGTCCTGAGCTTAGTATATTGCGTGCTCATTTTTTTTACCCAGGTCTCCTTTGAGACTTTGTTGCCGGGCACGCACCGCCACACTCCGCTTTGCCGCGACCACCCCGACCCGATCGCCTACGGTCGGAGCTCACCGACGTTGCCCGACCGTTTGAGCGCACGCACCCGCACGCACGCACGCACCCGCTGTTGTCGATGGCTTTGTACCGCGGAGTAATAAATATATTATTTTATATCCGTGCCTTCGTAAATCCACTGCTGGATGAAGGCGTCCCCATGCCGCACCGGTAATGGGGGTTTCGGTAAGCGTACTTCTCCGTGGTGCTCTGCGCCAGGTGGGGAAGGCGGCAGGGCCCAGGACCGGTTTGGACCTCGCTCCCCACTGACATTATCTGTGGCCAGGACTCGAACTCGGGTTTCTGGGCTCATAGCGCAGCGCGTTAACCATTCTGTCACCACCGCACCTCATGTTACGATTACAGTACTTGGAGTACTGAAAGGGGTGTATTATGATTAATATTTAAAAGCACAATAAAATATAACAATACTGCACAGAACAATATAACAGTACTGCAAGGTACTGTATTAGAAATGGGTGTAGTTCACGGAATCGGAACAGCATTACCACGTTTAGCCACTCGGCCACCTTTTGTGCATTAAAAGCTAGGGTTTCATTTTAAAACTAAAGGTGAATTATTCCCGTTCCAGCTGCCCCCAGTGTACTCCGATCTCATTAAAGGGAGAGTTTCCAATTAGTGTTCCGGACTTTGCTGAACACACACATACTATTTTTCCCCCTCTGTCTAAATCCAAACCAGAGGTGACTTCAAAGGTAAGCGGTCCATATGGACATAAGTGCCATGCGAGTTGTGAGACTGTCGAACACTTGAGCATGAAGGGGCCCTTTCATGGTTATTGGCTGCGCTGCATCTGGGGAGGGGTGCGCGTGCGTGACTGAGCATGAAGAGCTGTCACCCACTTAATTTACTTGTGTCGGAGAAACATTGTCTGGATTGTGCCTGCCAAATCGCCACACCCATTCAAAGAACTAAGAAGGCCATCTTGTTGTTGGAATTAAGGTTGCAACTCTCGATTACTCGCTGCAAGTGTCTGTGTTTGTTAAGTTGCTCTTGGTCAATAGACCTCCTTTGCCAGTACCAAAATGTAATAATAGGGGTTTTTCCCCTTTTTTCTGGCAAGAAAACTGAAACCTTTTTACAAGGATTCATGTCTGCATTAACCACAATACCTGCAGTCAAAATGCAAAAAAAAAATACTATGATAATACATACTATATAGCGTATATTATCATAGTATGTTTTTTGTTTGCATTTTGACTGCAGGTATTGTGGTTAATGCAGACATGAATCCTTGTAAAAAGGTTTCAGTTTTCTTGCCAGAAAAAAGGGGAAAAACCCTGTTATTATAAGTTGATCTTGCTTGCCTGAGTGGGTTATTATCACAGTTGCTGGTCAATATGTCAACGTAGATTTTGCAAGTTTCAAAAAATTCTGCAGCAAGATTGTTGTAATAATCTGTAGGCACTGTCATGGTACCCTTTCATTAAATAGCCCACACACCTTATCTTATCTAGATTTATAAAGCTCCCTTTACCGAGGCGCTATACAGAAATTATTAAATTGTACATAGCATGATCATGATTTGAAATTATGAATTGGGTTATTGTAAGTGGTGGTGTAGTTTTAATGACATCTCATTCAGTAACTCGCTTTTGTACAATCTTCAAACATTATCAGGCGTTTATTTCTATAATCTTAGTATCGTATTCCAACAAATTACTTAACCTTTGTTTAACAAAGTGAGAGCCCATTGTGCTGCATCGTTAATTTTTCAAAGGAAGCGAGGGATTACCATAGGTAATGAAGAGCAGTACTTTTTATATCACGTGTTTAGGAGATATATGACTGTTTAGAATTATTTATATGCATTCGAATACCTGGAGGAGGATGGGCTATGGGACCAGATTCCTGCAATTCCAGAGAAACGGGGAACCGTTAGCATTTTTTGGGCGTGTCTTGTAAATAAAATCTAGATTTGAAGTTTTCGTTACTGCAGGGATTCATACTCTTTGGTTCTTTCGGTAAAGTCACGTAAGGTATAATTTATTTTGTTTTATATCTTGTAAATAATTTCGCCTTTTTAACCAGGCAGATTTTTCACGGCCATTATTCCAATCCCCAGATTTAGAGCAGACTTAGCATATCCGGCAAAAGTGGTACTAGTGACAGCGGTACTCGTGACGAATTTGCACGTTATGTTTACGTGACAACCCTTACTTAGTTGGCCGTGTCGGGTAGGTGGCGGGTTTTTAACGACACATTTATATATTTATGCTATCTAACCCAAAAACAACCTCTTATAGATGAATCTTGACTTAAAGCTTTCGTGACTGCAGGAATTCATATTCTTTGGGTCTTTCGGTAAAGCCACGTAGATAGAAAAAATATATAACAAGATCACGACGTTTCGATCTTATGGATGGTTCCAAGCAATCGGCAAGGGCAGACTGGACATCAACAATGATGACGGTGCTTCCCGATGCCAGGCGCCAGTGGGGTTGGTGCTCGTGCCTCTCAAGCCCTTGCACTACTTGAGTCTCGTGCCAATGCACTGGGACATTCACTCAGGCTGCCGTGAATCCCAATGGTGCAGTCTGTGTGTGTGTGTGTCTCTCTAGAGCGTGACAATGATTGTCGAACAATGTGTGGAGGCTGAGGGACTGCATATTTTCTTGGTGGGGTCCGGGACTGTGTTTTGCTGACCTTGCCCAAGCCTGCATTTAGTGTTAAAAATCGGCAGGATTTATTTATGTTCAGTGACTTGCCTGCCTTTCCCATAATTAATTTGCACTCGGACAGTTTTTTTGCACTCCTATATTTTTGTTTGTTGTTGTTGTAAATTTTTGACCCGCCTCTACTGGACATCTGTGAAAAAGAGCTTCGTGGCTCATCAGATTCTTCCGGTCTAAATAAATATGCCGAGTCAACTGTGTTTGCTGCACCTGGGCCCACGGGGATCTACCACCAGGGGCAGATGGATTCCCATGATGTGAATAACATCAATAAAGTTGTGCGCTGAAATTATATCTTTAGAACGTTTATTATTAACCTGTGTTACTTAACCTAACGAACTAAATTTGTTAAGTAATTAAATATAAACATTATCTTTCCTTGCAACACAGTTGGCAGTTGCATTTCAATAAAGTTCCACTCGGTAGTCTTTGCAGACAATCATTGAGTCCTGTTGCACTTTCCACATGTGTATCCCGCCACAACTCGGCAATCTTGCAGATATTTGCATATCGACGTAAAATGTATTCACACTACAGGCAAACACGCCGAGTGAGGTGGCTACATCACATCCATTTGGTTTCAAGAAATGGACCTTTCCGCTCTATCAAGTGCACTACAATTTTATCCATCGGACAAAACAAGTAAATACAAATTCAGTGCCGACGCTCACAGGCGTCTCTGAGCGAATGCTTTTCAGTTCACGCGTGGCATCGTGCGTGGCCGCTCTTGACTTGTTATGTGCCGCGTCACGCTGGGCCACCCTCCATTCCCAGGCAGAAGAGGTCCCTGCAGCCGAGCCTGCTGATGGGCAACTCGGACATCTCCAGCGACGAGGACGACGACGACGACGCGGGGGGGTTGGACGCCAGGGGCTACGACCAGTCTCTACGGTCCAAGCTCATCGCCGAGGGGGAGCTCAAGCTGAGCTCTTGCTGACGGTCAACTTGGCCTCCCGCATCGGCCCCCCCTGCCGAACTCTCCCAATGTCTTATCACTGGTGTGTCTCCCAACCCTGTTGCCTGTGTGTTGTTACCACAGTGCTAGCAACACCCGGGTGGGGGGTGGCAACGCAATGCAAACCGATGAACGAGTTTTCGTGTCGTGAAGGCACTGAAGCATCAACTTTTATTGTATTCTCTGTGTACGACTAAAATACATTGAGTAGTTGGGAAACACAATAGCAGGTGTGAATGACTGAAAATCTATAATCACTCAAATTAAACCTATATTCAACCTTTCAATTGACTTACCTTCATGATCGCTACTCTTAAAATACATGAATACACAAATGTATATATAGTGCTGTGTATAAAAGTGTTGCACTGATAGTGGTTAGCGGCACTGTGCTATTAACCCAATCCTCGGCCACAGCTGACGTCAGTGGTGAGCGATATCGGAAATGATTGTGGGTACCCCCCCCCTTAACCAGTCCACTGATCAGCATGGTGAAGTATGGTCAAACAACCTCCGTGACCGACATGGCATGGGAAGGCCTTAATTCAGTAGTGCATTGATAAGGGGCTGTACATTAGTTTGTATGTGCACAAATCACAAAGGGGGCCAGACTGTTGCTCGGGAAACAAAATTGCCATGCTGAAAATGATAAATGGTTTCTCCCCCCTCTCCTCTGTGTGTAATGTGGTCCTGTCGTTGAGTCTCACAGGGGTCCTGACCTGACCCCAATCCTTGCCAAACAAACGCGCTGGGGGCATTTGCCACATCGGTCAACGCGCCGTTCGTGAACGTGGCGCGTGGGCGAGCAGGATCGCATCTGAGGTTGCACAGCTGTGTGGAGGGGTTTGCTTTGGCGATGCTGGGCCTCGGAGCCTATGACGAGGGGGGCCGAGTGAGATCAGGCCACGGGGAGGAAGCAATGCCTGTGTGGTTCGCTCATTGTTTACAACAAGCCCCATGTGTTTGTTTGAATTAATGGTTTAATAATGCACGCAACAATCAAGATATTTGAATGAAATATGTCCACGTATATGTTCGTCCACTGCAGACTTTGGTGTAGTGCCAAGCAGCACTGTGTAAAAAAAAAAGTCTTGAGTGTGTGCACCCAAACAACAGGGAAATTAGAATCGGATGAGTAAAGGTCTGCTTATCCGCTGCAATGCTACGTGTTGTCGGAAGCAGCACGCACTACTCGTGCCAACGAAGCCTTGTAGACTCCCGGCAATATTCCCGTGGGCGCGTCATGATTCCCTGCCAGTGATCACATGACGTTAACAGGATACCGTACCTTATTTCATTCGTGTAGGCATGTACACGTTGGATGGTGCTGTAATGGATGGCGATGAACAATGCCATTTGTTTTTTTTTTAGCACGAGACTTGAGCGAATGTTGTTTTAAAGTGAGAGTTGTGTCCGTGCCTAAGGCTACTGTAATGACGACCGCCACGTGGTGCTGGTGACAGCGAGTGTAGCTGCCACCTACACGAGCCAACGCCAAACGCTTCACCTGGGGCAGGTTCTTGGCAGTGAGGAATCGGACGCAGTACTCGGTGCTTTTCATTTTGCTTTTGTAGTTTTCGATGAAAACCGTGGTACTGCACGTGAGCTTAATCTGCCATGCCAAAGTTCCACATCATCGTGCTAATTGGCACCACGAAGTTGACATGTTAATGAGTTCAGGTAGCACACCGTTAATAATGTACAGGCGCGATTGCCTTTTCTTAAGATACTGCCAATAGCTGCAGCTGTTTTATTTTAACGAACTCTGCACCCACAGTTACCTTAACAGCCGTCCATTTATTATTGCAGTACATGTTTTATTACATTAGATGTTTTACATGCACGGTACATGTTTTAAAATATATTTTTAATACATAGGACTTAAAAGTAGGGTCATTTGAGATGATGCGATTCGATCGTCAAAGTGAGACATTGCTCTTATGAAACGGCTGCCTTCTCAATTTGCCTTGGAGTGCACGGAACTCGTATGTTGCTCCCAATGACATGTGTATGATTAACGTTCCACAGTTACCTTACGTAATGTTAATTCACGCGGCTTTCTGACAGTAAATCAGCCATGTTGTGTGACACGATGGACTTCGCATTGCGATGGCAAAGCGAGGCGAGCGATGCATTTCTCAAACTGGCCTGCAAGATGCATTCAAGCCACGGACAGCAAGCGGTGAGAGATCGCTCGCAAAATACCGCTCGCCTGTGTGACTGCTCCTTCAGCCCTTGGTTACGAAACCGCAGCCTTGCATGCATGCAGAATCGGTCCAGCCTTGCATGGACCACCCATCACTGAGCCATATCAATGGAGTATATGCACTTGAGCTTTAACAATCAATGAACACACAAAATACATGTCCTCGTTTTAATGTGTCAGCCGGGCTGCTATTCTCATGAGTGTCCTTTTGTAATCGAATCACTTTGAAAAAGCAGTGATGTGAATGACATCATTTGGCATTTTACATCTGCTAGTCTTCGTATCAGGGTCGCTCGCTAAATTTGTGATATTTGAAACAGCGCCTAATTTGCCCGTGTTTTTGTGTACACGAACTATCCACTGCTTGTGTTGATGTGTACCGTAGGCGGTTGAACGGTTTAAGTGCAACAAAAAGTTGTTGATGGTGGAGCTTGAATCAAGCTACCCCATTAAACAAGATTATGAATATCGGCTTTCTAAATATTAGATGGGTATTTAAGAGTAATTTTGCTCCGTAAAAAATGTGCCGTGCACACGTTTAAAGTTACGCGTGATTCCTGTGCATTCGATGCACTTTCGTGACCTGTTAAATACGTGTGTAAAAGCTTCAAATCTAGAACGTGTGTAAAGCATCGGCAAGGCAAATATAACACATGGTCAGCTCAAGAGCAGAATCATGTATTTTTTTTTCGAGAGTATAATTACAGTTGCTTGTGAATGTTGTACTGCAATATGAGATAAATGCAGGGAGGTTTGGTTCCCATCAAGTCTCTGCAAGACACGTAAATAGTGGCATAATTTAAAAGCCCCAAAATTCTCCGGAGCGAGCTCGGCTCCTCGAGCTGAGAAGTCCACGCAGTGGCTTGGTTCTAGCTCGGACACAATTCTGGACAAAGTTATTGCCTAGAGCATGGTGTACTTTGTCTTTCGTCGATTACCCCCTCTTATTGTGCAAGCTTTCTGTAACCCCCTAATAGTCACTGCTCTTGGTATGGACTGCGATGGCACAGTGGCAGGTTAATGTGATTACGTGATCGCAACAATGCTCACAGAGGGCCCCAAGCTCTAACGGAGCCCTTGACCATAACTCCTAATAGTAATACCCTTGGACAGCATCGCCCACCGTGACCTTAAATTTAACTTGATGAAATCATGAACTAACGTAACGAGGATTCAATAGTTGAATGAAGAAGACTGAAAAGCCGCACTCAAGATTAATACGAGCAAAGCGAAAGTTTGTTTAATCTTCGCTGAGCAGCGAAGATGTCTAGCAGAGGGACACAACTGGAAAACACATCCAGAGGCTGTATACCTCGGTACCCTAGGACAGCTATTGAGTCGGACTGGGATCAAAACTGTGAAATAAAGAGGTGGGCGAGAGCAGGTTGCAGCGCTGTTGGAAATTCAATGTCATACTGTACCTTATATGTAATACCTTATAAGTAATACCTTATATGGCATTACAGTTCTTAAACAGGACACTGACTATATCGAAAAAGAGAAAATATATGCACACACAAAGAAGCGTGGAGCGGTGCATGCTGGGAACTTCACTGAGGATCGCATGGATCGGATAAATAGCGCGAGTTGGACATCATTCTAACTTGCTAACAACGAAGTGGGCTTTGGGCAGGACACACCGCTCGAAGCGATGGTGGCGATGTTGTCAGGAGCGAGGACCGTGGCGGTCAAAGAAGTGAACCCATGGCCAGAGAGAGGAGGGCTCTACCGTGGAGAGGGGAATGATGTGAGCAGTGCACGGGGTGGGATTGTTGCATTGCGCCACTGAGAGGCGGAGGTGAATTGGGGAGGCCTTCTGCCAGCTGTGAATGAATCATGGCTGCGGCTGCTGCTGCTGATGATGATGAAGAATAAATATAGACGTCGATGTTGAGACAACCTTTATGATCCTGACACGAAAAGACCACGGTCCTGAAACGTAACCTTAGCGTTACCACGAACCTAAGGGGCCGTCCATAAATGACGTCACGCACCTGGGGGGGGGGGGGGGTCAGACATTTGTGACGATGTGTGACGAGGTGGGGAGGGGGGGTTTGAGAAATATGACGTCACGTCAAAATGCGCAACTTTAAATAAATATAGACAACACGTTCTACTTAATTGAATAGACTTTTTTTGATAAATGTTTTCTCCAACAAAATCAAAGAGTGCAGCGGCACATTAAATACGCACTACAACAATAACAATGGTTTAAAGCGATTTTGGAACATGTTTTTTTGGGGGGCGGGGGAGGGGGCAGAGCTTTGTGACGTCATATTTGAGGGGGGGGTCTGACTTATTGTGACGCCGTGCGACGAGGGAGGGGGGGTCAAAAATCGTCCAAAATAGCGTGACGTTATTTATGGACGGCCCCCCTAACCAGCCATAGTCCCCAGAACTAGCATTTACCTCACGATACGCCCTCGCAGTATAAAGGGTTACCATTATAAATACAGGGTACGAACTATAACATCGATCTGGTTATTTCTCCGTATCGCGTCTTCTAATTTCAAATCGATGCAGTCATATTGTCACCCACGAACACTGAAACTCGACTGTCAATGCCCCCTCTAGACAGATAGATTGACTGGATTGTTTTAAATGTTATCCTTTTATATAGAATCCTTACTCCAGTGTGCCTTTTCTCAGAGGGGACTTCGTGTGTTTTGATATTCAGTGCCTTTTAGATTATGACAAATAATGCAGTGAATACATTGTACACACTTACAATGGGTGTGTATATACACACACACACATGTTTAACAGTTGATTCACTAATGTGTGCTGTCTTGTATGACATTTAAAAGGAAAATGTTTGCTGGGGTGGGGGGGGGAGATTCACTGTGATTATGGGACAGGATGGTGGTACGTGCGTATCGTGTGGGGTGGTGGTGGTGGTGTGAAGGTAGCAGTGTACGATGAGGAGTTCATTTATTGGGACCAATAAATTCGTTGTATATTTTTTTTACTCTTTCCCGTCTCGTAATCATCATTATCATAATGTATGTCTACCTCGCGTAATAAAATCTAGAATAGTGTCACAGTCCAAAACATGTTTATACTTTGTTTAGCTGCTTTAGTGCAAACCATGAGAAAGAATGTCCCCCTGCGGTTTATGTTTCAACTTAATGCAACACATTTACTAGACCTGCTTTTGTGAGCCCGAGGCCGTTCACGCGGTCCGTCTGATTGGGTTTGTGTGGCGAGTGGAAATATGTGTGGGTTGGTGTGTGCGTGTGCGTGCTTGCGTGGCGAGTGGAGATTGTGCTCTGCCCCGTGATCTCAGCTTTACGGGGTTCGCTTCCTTTGCCAATGCGCACCAATACCATTGGGAAGCCTTCATCCAGCAGTTTTATGGATCATGGTTGATGATGATGATGATGAACGTTTGAGGCGTGTGTAGGATATAGGTTCTGTGCATGGTGTGAAACTTGTTCACCTGTGGCACATTGTTGGAGGGTGAGTAGAGTCAAGGATTTCGATTTAAAGCTTTCGTGACTGCAAGGATTCATCTTCTTTGGTTATTTCGGTAAAGTCACGTAGAATGAGAATAAAATAATAAAATAAAATAACAATTAAATTCTCACGACGTTTCGGCCACAACACAAGTGGCCTTCATCAGGTGAAGGGACGAGACTGTCTCAAGGACAGCGCTGGAGCGAACACAGCCAAGCTCAGACCGCAACCTTTAAGCTGTGTGAGAAGAAACAGAGCTCCTTGACAAAGGAATTAGCATAAAAATTAGCATTTAATTGGCGGACTTAGCATGATGAACGGTGTAGAGGGGGTGAACATGTGCAGACCGGCGAGGGAGGGGGAGTTTACATATTGATGGTGTGAAAAGGGAATTTAAGCTGCTGCGAAAGTTTGGGATACCACTACTTGAAAAAATATACTTTACCATTGAAAATTAGTTGAATGTTTGGTTTGGATAATTTAGCATTGAAATAGCTGAGTGATTAGCTTGTGACTGGTCACAGAAATGGCTATGTTAAAGTCAAAGCCTACACATCCACAGAGGCACCTACTATTAATCAAACAGGAGGATTTAGATTTCGATTTAAAGCTTTCGTGACTGCAAGGATTCATCTTCTTTGGTTCTTTCGGTAAAGTCACGTAGAATGAGAATAAAATAATTGATAAAATAAAATAATAATATTCTCACGACGTTTTGGCCACAACACAAGCGGCCTTCATCAGGTGAAGGGACGAGACTGTCTGGTAGGACAGCGCTGGAGTGAAAAAAGCCACGCTCAGATCACGACCTTTAAGCTGTGTCAGAAGAAACAAAGCGCCTTGACAAAGGAATTAGCATGTAATTTAGCATTGAAATGGCCGAGTGATTAGCTTGTGACTGGTCACAGAAATGGCTATGTTAAAGTTAAAGCATACACATCCGCAGAGGCACCCCTTGACAAAGGAATTAGCATAGAATTTAGCATTGAAATAGCTGAGTGATTAGCTTGTAACTGGTCACAGAAATAGCTATGTTAAAGTCAGAGCATACACATTCACCGAGGCACCTAGTACAAATCAAACAGGAGAATTTAGCATTGAAATAACTAGGCGAATTTAGCATTGAAATAACTGAGTGATTAGCTAGTGACTGGTCACAGAAATGGCTATGTTGAAGTCAAGGCCTACACATCTGAGCTATTCACAGTAACTGGGTATACAATACAATGTATAATGAATACTATATAGTGAACCAATAAAAAACTAAAATATAAATTACCTTAATGTTATCAATAAACTCTATATTCTCCAATCAGCTAAGCTACCAACAATAAGTCGTTATATATCACAATGCTATATGGCCAAAAAAATGGGTGGATTCTTACCCTCAACTTTAGCAACACGGATAGCTACGGGCCCCGTTCAGACGGACGAGTTCATCCAAGGTCGGAACAGAGGAGGGGGAGAGAGACAGCTGCGAGGCGCTATTATACTCCATGTTGTAAACCATACCATTAACCGTGGTGTGAGAGGTATTAAGAGTCAACCAGGAACACATTACCAGTGAACTCAAGCACGTACACCAGGCTCTCAGGGCTAATGGTTACTCCGACTACACAATCTGCAAAGCCATCACTCCAGTCATGAAGAAGGATTCTCTTGTGGAGCCACTCAAAACCATCACCTTACCCTACATTGCAGGGGTCACTAAAAAGATCTCCAAAATCCTGAAAAAACACAAGATCCAGGTCCGATTCAACACAATACATAAAATCCGTGATCTAGTTCCATCTGTAAAAGATGCTGTTCCAGACATACAGTACCCGGGCGTTTACAAACTAAAGTGCCTCTGTGGTAGTAGCTACATTGGAGAAACCATACGACATATCTCGGACCGCATCCGTGAACATAAAACAGACTTGAAACACGGTAGGACGAACTCCTCTGCCGTGGCAGATCACTGTTATAATTCAGTGGGCTCACATGACATTGACTTCTCCAAGACGGAGGTTCTTTGCAAACCAACTGGCTACCATGAGAGATTCGTTCATGAGGCCATTCACATATACAAGCACAGAGACAATTTCAACCGAGAAGATGGATTCTGGCTTAGTAACCATTGGAAAGATGTTTTAAACCATTTCCGTTCTTAATTGTATTTTACGATGACCTTCAGACCGCAGCTCTTTCGCCAGCATTGACTCTTAATACCTCTCACACCACGGTTAATGGTATGGTTTACAACATGGAGTATAATAGCGCCTCGCAGCTGTCTCTCTCCCCCTCCTCTGTTCCGACCTTGGATGAACTCGTCCGTCTGAACGGGGCCCGTAGCTATCCGTGTTGCATTGTGATATATAACGACTTATTGTTGGTAGCTTAGCTGATTGGAGAATATAGAGTTTATTGATAATATTAAGGTAATTTATATTTTAGTTTTTTATTGGTTCACTATATAGTATTCATTATACATTGTATTGTATACCCAGTTACTGTGAATAGCTCAGATGTGTAGGCCTTGACTTCAACATAGCCATTTCTGTGACCAGTCACTAGCTAATCACTCAGTTATTTCAATGCTAAATTCACCTAGTTATTTCAATGCTAAATTCTCCTGTTTGATTTGTACTAGGTGCCTCGGTGAATGTGTATGCTCTGACTTTAACATAGCTATTTCTGTGACCAGTTACAAGCTAATCACTCAGCTATTTCAATGCTAAATTCTATGCTAGGGGTGCCTCTGCGGATGTGTATGCTTTAACTTAGATATTTCAATGCTAAATTCTGTGCTAATTCCTTTGTCAAGGGGTGCCTCTGCGGATGTGTATGCTTTAACTTTAACATAGCCATTTCTGTGACCAGTCACAAGCTAATCACTCGGCCATTTCAATGCTAAATTACATGCTAATTCCTTTGTCAAGGCGCTTTGTTTCTTCTGAAACAGCTTAAAGGTCGTGATCTGAGCGTGGCTTTTTTCACTCCAGCGCTGTCCTACCAGACAGTCTCGTCCCTTCACCTGATGAAGGCCGCTTGTGTTGTGGCCGAAACGTCGTGAGAATATTATTGTTATTTTATTTTATCAATTATTTTATTCTCATTCTATGTGACTTTACCAAAAGAACCAAAGAAGAGGAGGATTTAGCATTGAAATAACTGAGGGATTAGCTTGTGACTGGTCATAGAAATAGCTTTGTTAAAGTCAAAGCCTACACATCTACAGAGGCACCTAGTACATGGACGCCAAAGGGGCTGCAACAACTCAACAACTCGACTATCATATAGTAAACCGATTTGAAAAAAACCTAAGTCTAAATTACATCAATATAATAAATGTACTCAATATATTCTTCATTAAGCTGCGCTATTAACAGTAACTGGGTATACACTACACTATATAATGAATACTATA